ACATGTGAAGCCATTGGAATTGGCTCTATTATGGTAGAGGTGGTTGTGAATAGACAAACCAATAGGATCAGATTCAAAAACGTCCTTCATGCACCTAAAATGAAGCAAAACCTACTTTCGATGAATAAACTTGTAATGGAAGGTTTTAAAGTTCAATTTAACATGAATGGATGTTTTGTAAGAATATTGAGTGGAGATAAGGTCTTCAAAGGCTTGAAAGAAGGAAATTTGTACTACCTCATTTATAAGAAGATGAATGGAGTGGAGGTAGCTGCATTTGCTGAGTTTACATCAATCCAAGATAAGTTGAATATATGGCATCGTCGCCTTGGCCATTTGAATGTAAAGAGCATGAATGAGCTCAAGACTATGGTAAGTCGCTCAAATCTTGGCAATACAAGCCATAATACGAAACAACTTGCATGTGAAGGATGCATACAAGGCAAACAACAAAAGGCCTCATTTCCAAGGAGTGTAGCAACATGTGCTACCAAGTTGCTAGAGATTGTCCATTCAGATGTATGTGGACCTATGAAGAACACAAGTATTGGAGGATCAAGGTATTTTCTCACTTTTATTGATGATTATTCAAGAAAGATTTGGATCAACATTCTTAAAGCCAAGAGTGAATGCTTTTGGAGGTTTAAGGAGTTTAAAGTACTTGTTGAGAAACAAAGTGAATGTAAGATCAAGGTGCTATATATGGACAATGGAGGTGAGTACATGTCTAAGTAATTTGATGTTTATTTGAAGAATGAAGGAATTGTTAGACAAACCACAACTCCATATACTCCACAACAAAGTGGTGTTGTTAAAAGGGCAAATCGAACCATTGTAGAGATGGCAAGGAGCATGTTTCATGTTTAAAACCTTGGCTATGAGTTTTAGGCAGGAGCTTTGGTGAATGCAATGTATACAAGAAATAGGTGTTCAACAAGTGCTTTTGCATCAATGACACCACAAGAAGCTTGGAGTGGGAGACAACGTTGCATTTTCCATATGATAACTTTTGGTTGCATTGCATATGCAAAAACACCAGATTGTATGAGGTCCAAACTTGATGCAAAAGGTACAAAGTGTGTGTTTCTTAGTTATTAAGAAGGTAATAAGGCATATAGGCTAATGTGCTTGGAAACCAAGAAGATCATCAAAAATCGTGATGTTGAGTTTTTAGAACACAAGAGTGCTTATGAGCACTTAGAAATGTGTCTAAATAGAAGTAATGGTGTATTTGTGGACACATCTTTGAATTCAGCAAAGAAACAAGAAGATGAAGACAATAAAGATGAAAAGCCAAAGAATGTTGAAAAGATGAAGACTCCTATAATTGATAGGACTAGCAAAGAAAGAAATGAAGATGTTGAAGATTGGGATGATGATAATGATGAAGAGTATCAACCATTGAGTGAAGAACAATAAGGTTTAAAAGTTGGAAAAGAACAAGTAGTGCAACAAGGTGAATGTTCTTCTACAAGTAAAAGGAGATATCGTTTGAGAGAAAGAAGGCAACGTGGCAAATGATAGAAGGATCACATCTTCTCTCAAGTAAGTAAAGAACATACAAATGTTACTCTTCTTGTTGATCCACTGTCTTTGTGTGATGCTATGAAGTGTGAAGATGCAATCAAGTGGAAGAAGGCTATGGAAGAAGAGTACCAATCTCTTATAGACAATGGTACATGGAAATTGGCACCTCTTCCAACAAATTGATCTAGAGTTGGTTGTAAGTGGGTGTTTAAAACTAAAAAAGATGCAATGGGTGTGGTGGTGAGGCACAAGGCAAGATTAGTTGTGAAAAGATACTCACAAGTTGCTGAAATTGATTTCAATGAGACTTATGCACCCGTTGCCAAATTCACCACTATTAGGACCATTGTAGCAATTGGGGCAGCAATGGATTTGGAAATACATCAAATAGATGTGAAGACGGCCTTTTTGAATGGAGAATTGTAAGAAGACATGTACATGGACCAACCTCAAGGATTTGTACAATAAGGCAAAGAACATCTTGTGTGTAAATTGAAGAAATCTTTATATGGATTGAAACAATCACTAAGGGCATGGTACCAACGAATTGACACCTTCTTTGTCAATGAAGGGTTTGTGAGGAGTGAAGCTGATCATTCATTATATGTGATGCAATCTAGAGAGTTCTTGCTGATTATAATCCTTTATGTTGATGATTTGATCATCTTGGCTAACAATATGGAAAAGATGGATTGGATGAAGATCAAATTAGAGAAGGAATATGAGATGAGTGATTTGGGAGAGTTGTACTATTGCTTAGGAGAAGAATTTGTAAGAGATCGTGGTAAGAAGATCATTATAATGAGCCAAATCAAGTACATTGAAGAAGTGTTGAAACGATTCAACATGGAAGAATATAAGCCCATTGAAACATCCTTGGAGGAAAATTTGAAGTTGATGAAGCTCACGGATGAGGAGTTTGCACAAGTTGAAGGTGAGATGCAAAGTGTTCTATACAAAGCAGCAATAGGCTCATTCATGTATGCAATGGTGGCGATAAGAGTGGATCTTGTATATGCGGTGAGTATTGTAAGCCAACACATGTCTAAGGCTGGACCAATGCATTAGAAAACAGTAAAGAGGATATTGAAGTACTTAAAAGGTACAAAAGACTTCAAATTGTGCTTTGGTGGTAAGAACATTGATTTACAAAGTTATTGTGATGCGGATTGGGCTGGAGATGCAAATGATAGAAGATCCACAACATGATATGTCTTCTTCATTGGAGTGGGAGCCATTTCATGGGATTACAAGAGACAATCTACCATTGCAAGATCAACGGTGGAAGCAGAGTACATGGCAATAAGTTATTGTACAATGGAGGCATGTTGGATAAGACAACTCTTAGAACACATTGATGTTCAATATCATTTCATATGAGAAAAGATTGAAGATGGAATAATAGGTATGAAGTATTGTACTATAAATAATATGCTTGTTGATGTACTTACAAAGGCATTAGTAAAGGATAGACATCATGACTTGATTCAGAGATTAGGATTAAAAGCCTTTTGAATATTAGCAAAGTGGGAGTGTTGAAGATCAGCAAGTACTTGCTTAGTTACAACCACATAGAGATTAAGCATAGTATGTTGCTAACAGTAAAAGGCATTAAAGAGTTAAAGTAAGTTATTATAGTGGCACCAAGGATTTTGTTCGATGAGGTAGAAATGGATGTAATATCAAAATGATGGAAGTTGCCTCGTTGGTGAGCAAACCACTACCTATAAGTAAAGAGTGTTGGAAGTAAGAATCATCTTTCTCCACACTTCTCTTAGACTACAATCCTTATTGATGCTAAGTGTTTGTAGCTTTTAGACTTCATTTCTTCAATAAGTTGATGGATAGTTTTGTAATAATACCGAATCTTGAATAATAATTACTTAATCAAAAACTTATTTTTTATTTTTTATTTTTTATTTTTTTGTTTTCCATTGTACCATAGTTGATGTGGCTCTTCTTTCATATTTCATCAAACCCATCCTTTACTCTACACCATTTCTTTGTTTTTGCCTATAGAATTACTCCTACCATCAATTCTAACTCTAGACTTTTGAGCATTCTGATATCAAATATCTATGCTAAGTCATTGTTTGTCAATTCATATTCCTCACCTCTAAAGACAGTTTCTATATTTTTCTCCATATTAATTGCTTAATCTATCTTATCTACAAGCCAAGATGCCTTCTCCAATAAGAATCCTCTATCAATATATATCATTTCATATATTGCTGAGTTATCAAAAATCTTGAAGTACTTTTCAATGTATCTTATTTCCATCTATGAGTTTTGCAACTTATGTTTTAGCTCAATTCTTTCTTGTTTGTGAAGAGCTAAAGGAACATTATCACTTTGTTGGTGCTTCTTCTATTCTCCAATCTACTTGTTCTACTAGTTTGCTCGGACGTCCATTTTTTTTTCAAAATATTGTATTAATTGATGATCTAATCTCTCTTGCAATTCACTCCTATCAACTCCTATTAAATAATAATCTTGCATTCTTTTGAATTCTAATTTAATATATACTATCTATTTTTAGTTATTTATTAAATATAATAAAATACTCTTGATTTTTTTAATGCTAAATAAATCTTATTATGATAGTAATATGAAGATAACAACTAATATTTTTATCTTTTACATCTAATATTTTTGTCTTTTTTTACCACATTAGTGATAATTTTTATTATTATTTCTTAGTACATGTATTTTAATTTTTTGTATAAAAAGTCAAATAATCATAGATTATGTCATCAAATTTAATAATGTATAATTTTAAATTTAATAGATTATATATAGCATGTGTATAGAGTGAATATTATTACAACAATATTTTCACTATAGTAAGAGGAAAAGAAATTAAATTATTATATCACAAGTTGAAACCAAAAAGAATTGTATAACAGTAATACATAAAAAAATTAGCCATATCCAATTTTTAAATTAAGAGGATTTTTGTACTTAGTTCTTTTTGGAAAGCCATGGTACAAAAGCTTTCCAATGACTCCTTCTTAACTAAGAAATTCTTTCTTTTTAATGCCTTGGCCTTTTAAAAAGAGATGGTCCAAAATAATTATTTTATGACTAGTCTAAATATGTTAGCTTATATCTTCATTCTAATAATTATGAGAAATACAAATAATAATAAAAATAATAATAAGAATAGTACTTAAAGTTTATTTTTAATAATTGTATACATAGCTTTTCAATTTTTGTAAAATCCACTTCATTAAAAGGGCCTACCACAAATTGTAGAGGACAATACTATTCATAATATGTAAGAAAGAAAATCCATTCCACTTCATTTTTATCTTTGAAATACTTTTTCAAAGTATAAAACCAACTACGTGAGGCTTCTCAATTTCAACCAATTAAAAAATTAAAAAAAATTGAAGATACTTTTCTACTAAATATATAGACCCCTAAACCCAATAACCACTTCAACAAAACACAAAATCCCTTGAGGCCTTCTCTGACATGACATATACTTTTGTCACATGTAATTCAACTGAGAGGATTGCTGTAATAACAACATTACAGATCAGAGCTGTATGCTTTGATGTAAGAAGTTGAGACTTCAGTCAGTTTTGAATAAGGTCACAAGGCAATTCCTCCAGTCCTACAGTCACAAAGCAGCCCTGTACTCAGATGACAGATGACAGTCCGTTCAACAAGCATCGCCCATTGAACTTGATGCAGTAAACGTTGATGACCTTCAAACCTAATTCTTGAATTGCTGCTGACCATGTAATACCTGGCGTATATCATGATATTTATTGATTGCTACAGGAGACCCCTTCATGACTCTTTGCAAGGGCTTGAGGATGCCTTCGGCATAGGAATATACCTGGGTGGTGCCGTGGCTTCGTCACCTTGGAAGTAACTGATTCCCCCTTTCAGTTAGATAGGTGCTTCAGTTCAATAGATACCTAACATGTTGAAGACACCGATGATTTTTGACAATTTGTGTCCGATCGTCTGAGTCAATGTCATCTATCCCATATGTTTTGGTTCTGCTCTACTTACATGAACATTTTCCGCACATTTCCACCAAAAGCACTAGACCAAAGCCCTCAATTCCACATCGTTCTAATCATTCAGGATGCGCACCTTAAATGGTCAAAGTTGCTTCAGGCTGCAACATGATCTTTAAACAGGACAAAAACTGTATACAATTTGGTCATTTCTGCCCACATAGACTATTAAGAGGAGAACCAATTGTGCCGGTGATTACAACTTTGCCGCTCTCCGTCACCCCTCCATACTGAATAATACCGGACTGAACCAAATCCATCATTCCTCCTTCAAAGCCAAGTTTTCGAAGAATTAATATGGACCCTGTACTTACGAGGTGCTAATGCATGAGGACGGTTGTGAGTAGTTTTATCTTACGATAGAGAAGCTGCACCACAAATACTCGACTCTCCAGCACTGCCAACATGAATTCATCAAGAGCCTGACTGAGATCCTTTGCTTGGAATACCAGGACCTTTCCATGTTCAGTTCCTGGTATCTAACGTCCTTAGTATTATGCATCACCTTTTCCACTGGACCAGATCTAAAGAGCCTCCGTGTTGTATCTTCACAATCAACCCTTTTAAACAAAATTGTGCAGCAGTACATGCACCACAGGGTTCAAATAAGTAAAGTTGTGTATCACCTCTTCCGCCGCTTTGCCTCCGGCTGCAGCTCAAGAAACCACATGTACTGATTGGAACCACAGAAAATTTCTAATTAAAATAGAAAATCTATAAAACTACAGGAGCGCTTTCCAGGGAAACTCATTTATAAACTATAATCATATTACAAGGAATGCGTTTGCTACATAACCATTACAGTTCCTATTTACAGATGGTACATTTAAAAGAATTCAAAGTAAACCCGATTTTCAATGGACGATGTGTGCTCAATGCACCATATACTGCTTAACCACCTTCAGAGTTTGTGCTCCAACTTCAAGCTCATGACATCCTTTGGCCTCAAACCATCTTATGACACCAACTGAAAAAATAGAATTCATTTTAGGTTCAACTTTCAATAGAAGTATACCTTATGAACATGTTCAGGTGTTGGTGACGATCCTGGAGAAGATTGGCGCAACTTCCTGTCCCCATCTGGCAAGGAACAATCAGGACAAACAAATTTCTCCATACGCTTCACTTGATCTGGTGTGAAGCTCATGCAAGAAGGGTGAAACCTGTACTCAAAAATAGAAGCAGGGTTCAGAGTAAGATGCTTTCTACTTCCCAGATATTGTTCTCATCAGACTGAAAGAAGTTTCGTACTTGCAACATACGGAAGCAATCGTAGCCAAGTACCCAATTTTTGCATGTGATATCCATAAACATAAGCAAAGATACTACAACTTCCAGGAGAAGGGTAATTCAATTCAGAGTGTGGTTTGACTATTGAAAGTAAGACGTCGTCCTGCTTCTTGTGCAGGAGTACAAGCAAATCTAATTCGACCTTCTGGCAATACTTCTAAAAGGCTTCAGTGATTCAGACTCTACAATTTGCCTCTTGAAGTACAAGACAAGCTGCTCACAATATACTGACTAAATAAGGATGAGATGAAGAGAACTTACCAATCTTTGCAAGTCTCACATTGAACCATCAAATCATCTGGATTATAAGGCATCTCACATTTACAATACCTATACAGAACAGTCAGAGAACACCAAATGGGTCAGCCTTTATATCACAAGAAAGGAATACACCTTACTTAACTCAATGTTTTACACTCGACTTAGGATATGTAAAGCTAGTGAAACACTACAACTCAAATGCAAAAAATTTACCAGCTTGACCAGGAGAATGAAATTAGCCATAATTGCACTGACATGCATTTGAAACACATGCCGTGCTTAAACCTCTATGTAACAACCATGTAGCGTTACGACTATGCGACCGCCGAGAGATGAGTTCCTTGTTACTTCACCAAACGTATATAAGGAAAAGAAACATGTAGAGTGAAAAATGACGTACACAGCCACTCGATCAGGAGTGAATCCGCCAGTAGAAGCCTTGTATTCAAAGCGACAGAAGTAATCTTCAGTACCGACACTGTCAAGCTTAGTGTAATTTTTGAACGTATGAACAATGCACTTGCCCTCTATAGTGTCCGCACTTTGAATATCGTAGTGATCTGACAAGAAAAGCTCCTTTGAACCATGAAATTGTCGCCTCCCTCCCATTGACTCTTCAGGCCGATAATACCATCGTACCCGTACTTTAGTATTGTTTCTGTTGTCAGCCTCAATCTTCTCTATCTTGGCAACGTAAGGTGGCTTATCAGGATCTTGCCCACGCATCAAGACACAATCTCCCACTGTAAAGGCCACAACCGTTGTGGTTAAATCACATATTTCGTTTACATCTTTGGAAATTGTTCTTGTATGACAATTCACTAGCGTGTAGAATCCTATTACAAATCTGCAAACAAATGGAAGTCTGATCTAGTTGGCCTCGGCATCGCGCTGTAACAGAGAAATCAATCAGGTCATTAGCTAAATTTCCCCAACTGCACTGATAAGTAATATAACATACCGAGATTATCCGATGTTAAAAGAATTCGGACCTTCTTTGCAAATACTTACAACTATTAACATATTATTTTTGTTTCCAGTCCACTCAATCAAAAGTTTTGCAGGTTACATTCGAGTACAACAGAAAATTCTTGTCACAAAGCTCTGCGACCTGCTGAAAGCTATGTGATTCGGAGCCCCCAAATTCCATAAGTCTTGAATATAATCAATATTGTAAAGGAATTTTATCCATGATTGAAAATTATTAAAATTAGGGCATAAAGAGAAAGTAGTTAAGAGACGGACCTACACGTATCAACTACCATTTACTATTTTTCTTAAGTGGAGGAGCTTCAAGCTTTTAAAATTTGTCAAACATCCAGAAAAGGCTGTTGTCGATTCTCGAAACAACAATAATGTCCTGAGAGTGGTACTGTTAAAATTGCTCTCAGGGTAAGACTTTAAGGACTGTAGGGAGCCTCTGCCAGGTCAATAAGCCCATCCATTAGGATGTTTATATTCACTAGTAAGGATTCATGTGAAATCTTAACGAAATATGTACTCTAGGGGAGCAGCAAATATGTCTGCATAATATTACGATTCACATTATCAATATAAAATTCAATCCCTCCAAATATGTCAAAGTATGTCAGAATGCATCACCAAGGTCAATCATCATCCCCTGAGTAACGTGATTGTCTGAGGTCTTTTACTATCAACCTTAAATTAATCCACACTGTATGCTACACAGTGGAAAATTTGGGGGATAACACGACGATTACGTCAAACAACAAAGTGGCAAAGGAACAGAGATTGAGTTTAGTGTGAATTGGTGATCAGAAATATCCGACGCACAGCCTTCGTGAGGATCACATACAAAATGCACAGCATTCCACTTCTTTACGTGCAGGTCTCCTCATAACAACCTGGAGGTCAAGCGACTTTGTCGAGATAATCACGGGAAAACCTCATTCATTTCCAAACTCACCTTTCACGACCTTCTGTGTGCCTTTCACGGTGTACGAGTCGAGAGCTTTCTTGGCACCTTTCGACTTCGCCATCACAAGGGAAATACGCGTCTCTACTAGCGTCCTCCCTCGCACAAGCGCAAAATTAAAATTCGACTCCAAAGCCTACAACCGGAATCTCCACACAACCACGCGTCGTCAAGTATAAATTATCTCTGGTAACAACCTCCGAATCACAACGGCCTTACATCCTCCGCCGAGGTCTCATATCTCGCGCATACCCGGCGGGGAAACATCCCCGAGAGATCACAACCAACGTGTTCTCATGTCGATCCATCACTGCTTCCTGCTTCTAATGACTGTGCCTTCCATATCCAACCATCCCGAATCACTCTCCACTCCGTGCTGACCTCCACAATCCACTATATTCCAAACAGAGAACACTTCTACAAAGCTCTCGAAATTCTACACTCAATTCCAGACCTGCATAACACTTCCCTGCGAGGACAATCGCCGCAGCCGGTCCTCGCAATCTAACACGCACCTCTCCCTCCGCTATGGCGATGAACGGAGAAGAGCCTTGTTCCAAGGGCAGGTAGGTGCCATCGTGCCAAGGGGGCCAAATCCCGCTCTCCAAGACATCTCCCGTTTTTTCATCTCTTCTCCCTCTGTACATGCACCCCCCATCTAGGTTTCTGCTTTCTATTTGTAGTGCTTTCCTAGACTCTATGACGTCGCGCGGTTATTTTTATCCAACAGGAAAATTAGTAGATCTTGTGCTCGGTCACACGAGAAGCTTGTATCAGTAGAGCGGGTCAAACACTTGGTAGATTTGAAATCTAAGCATTGGGGGAAAATTGTCAATCCTCGCTAAAGCTAGATTTCCAAGTGGACCGAAGAACCAAATAATAACACGAGAGAATCTATTATATGAAGATGGTAAGAATGTTGCAAGGAAATTAAAAACTGAATACTATTACTATTAGTACGTTAAAATAATAATAGTAATAACAATAAACGCTGAGTTCACTAACAATATGACAATGGGTTTGTGATTGGTGGAGTAGCTCTGTCACTTCCTTCACAGCTCTCAATGTTTTAATTAAAACTAAAAGTTGTATGATTAGTTCTTGACTGTGGTTGGGTAGAGTTTTGGCGACTGCACCAAGTTGTTATTAAAAAAAAAAGGTATTATAGTGGCATCAAACCGTCCATTTATATGTGCCTACAACAAGACTAACATGGTTTCATGTAAAACCAGTAGGAATCTGTGATTTTTGGCTTGAAAATTGTATTTTTGTTCACACAATAGAACCATGAAAATAAACGAAGAGTTGTTTGAAATGTTGTAAATTCAAGTGAGTCAACAATTAGAACATGAGAGGTCAATGTGCATTTAATATTGTTAACCTTTTTCATCAAGAATTTTTACATTAAACCCTATCTTAGTGGTCTAAATATGGTTTCCCTCATACTTAAGTAGTCTTCCAACATTATACCTTTTTAAATTTGCTATCATAAATCTATATTTTAATTCTTTATTTATTTACTTATAATTTTCTTTATAAGTTTTACTTTTCTAAAAAAAAATAAAAGTATGAAAAATTTTTCAAAAAATCAAAAACTAAAGTTATTTTATATTGTAATTTGTAATAAAACTTTATAGTTAGATATATTTTGTAATAAAAAATAATAACAATACCATCTTAAAATCCTATAAATAATTATTATATTTCTAAAAATTACCTTTCTAATATATAAGCCTAGCAACAACCTTCCTTTAATTATTAGATAGATACCATCTTTTATTTATTTTACTTTATTTAGCTTGAGTATTAATCATGTTCACATATTATAAATTGTTGTTATTTACATATTGTTGTATTTATACCTTTTGGCCTCACTAGTGTCTAGTTTGTTGAAAAACTTGTATATGTAGTATACAATTGGATTAAAAGAGGAAGGATGAGGCATCAACATACTAAAAAGGAGGCATTTGCACAATAAAATGAGGTGACCATCTAATATAACTAATATTTCATTTAACATGATTTAATTTTGACTTAAAATTAAATTAAATTTTTAGTTTTTTAAAATTAAATTATTAAAAAAATAACTAAATGTTCATAATATAAGATAAGTTTTTTGGAAAAATAAAAGAAAGTGATAAAAAAATAATAATTATACAATAACTATAAAAATTTGAAATGATTATTTTAATAGAAAGGATATATACAATTCAATGTGATAATTAAATTAAAATTAAAATTATTGTAGATGTTTTTTTTGTTTAGAATATTGTATTAGGTTGTGTAAGAATATGTTTTTTTTTATTATTTATAATTACAGTAAGTTATATGGATTATAATATATCTAAAAATTTAATAAATAAACAATCATATAAACTAAAACAACATAAAATAAAACTACATATTAAAATTTGAAAAGAAAGAAATTAATGTGTAGATTTAAGAATTAGTTTGTGTATTTTACATACTATAATTGTAATTTAAAAGATAGTGAATAAGTTAAAAATTAGAGTTAAAATTAAGATAATTTAGCTGACTTTGTAAAGTTTTCTTTTTGAATTTTATTTATTATTATAAAACTACTTATTCAAATTATATCAAAGAAGAAATAAATTTAATTTTATGCTCATAAGAGTATATTTCAAAGAATTATGCATAATTTATTCACAATAGTTGTGAATTAGTCAAGCATTTTCTAATTCTAAATTTCTAAATGACTATGTATTTTCTTTAATATATATATAAAATAATAGTTATATATATATATATATATATATATATGTATATTTTAAAAAATATATATATATTCTAACATATATATTAGAAGATAAATTTAGTTTTTAAAAATTAAAATTATATTTCAAATTACTTATTAAAATTTTAATTAGATTATTAAAAATAATTAAAAATATGGATTTCTAAGTATATTTATTTTGTAACTATTTAGCTGAAGGAATATAAGAAAAAAAAAAATGAGATTTACATTCTTAAAACATTTTATACTATTTAAGAAAATAATTAGTAACATTTGTGTACAAATAAATTAAACTAAATAAATAGACTTTTTAGTTTTAAATTTCTTGTGTTTAAAAAAACATTATAGAATTTTAAAAGTCATTTTTTACACCTTCATTTGTTTAAATTGAATTTCGACAAAATCAGCCATTATTAATTTTAAATAAATATTAGAAAATATTATTATATATGTTTTTGATAAATTTCTGTAATTAACTATCATTTGATACCGTCTTACTAAATTGTATCAAAAAATAAAATCTAGACATTAACTTCTAACTTCTTTTATAATATTTTCTTCAATAAATATTTTTAAGGTTTTTCAAATTAAATATATATTATTTAAACTATTATATTCTTTTGTCATACAAGTAATAAATATTTTTTTAAATTCTATTCATTTTTATTATGAAATTCATAATAAAATTTTATAATTTTATTTATTGTAAAACTATACAAATTAGAAAAAAAAAAATATTACTTTTAGAATAACAATATTAACAAACTACTTATCTAGTTCAACATCATTGTTTTGTTTTTGTCTCCATATAAATTTTCAAAATATCAAGATGCATATTGTAAGAAGTATATTTAAATAAATATATTATTTTTATATTTTTTATTTGATATTTATATTTTGTATTTTTCTAAATTCTTCTTTTAACTTCTGTTTATTTTTTTATTTAATGAAATCTTCATAATCAAACCTTTATTTGTATAATTTTTGGATACTAACTCTCCTATTTTTTTTAAAATTATCTTTAAATCTAGTATCTTAACACCTTTAGTAGTATCTTAATTATGATAATAAAAAATATTAGGTTGAATATATAAAATTTTAATATATCATTTAAATAAATAAATAAATAAATAATATATAGATATTTAAATATTTTATTTTTACTATTTTATATAGTTTTTAAAGTTTTTAATATTGATTTAAGTGAATGTATGCAAATCCAATAAATACTATAAAAGAATATAATTTCTTAATTTAAAACTTTATTAGAAGTTAAATTCATTAGCATACTTATTCCTAAAAATATACTTTAAATTAGAATAGACTTTTAATTTTATTAGACTACCATAAGTTTAAATTTAAATATAGTTTTTTTTATGTATATGAATTAAATTAGGTAAATTCAATAGATTTCTTTTGTAACCATCAATAATTTTTATATTTTATTAATATCAATTATTTAGATTTTTTTATTGTTAGTAGATTAAAAAATATACATAATTATGTATATATACATATATGGATTTTTATTTTGAATATTTTAAGCTGAAATAAAAATAAAATAATTTAAATTGAATATATTTAGATTTATAAATTTAGAATTTATAAATAAATTTACAAAATTGCCAAATAGACAAAATTAAAATTATCTCTTTTTTCTTACATGGATATCCTCTTGTGCCACACACCTATGCATATATACAATAATATTAGCTTCATACACACAATGATATTATAATATGGGTTTAAGCATGGTATATGTTTGAAAATACAAGCTTCTTACATTTCTAAATAGATGCCTTATTCAAACACATTGAGTAGTTGCCTCACTCCATATCCTTACATTTTTAATATTAAAAGAAGTAATCAAAAGTATTATAAATTAATATGGATGTGAGATACTACACATATATAACAAATAAATTGAGTAAAATATTATTTATAAAGTTTAGTTTTGTTGCACCCACAACTATATATACAAAGAAAACAACACTTATTTTTATCTTGAAAAATATTTTCCAAAATAAATCAACTTATATAGATGCAAGTATTTTTAGGATTTTATCTAATAATAAATAGATGATAAAATTGAATTATAGAATATTGCTACAAAAATTAAGGACTACAACTATGATTGATCTTGACTATTTTTGTAAATTTTATTATTTTTATCTTGATTTTTGATGATATTGTTGTAATTAAATAAATAAGAAAAGTAAAGATTTCTTGTAAAAAAATTTATATGGTAATTATTAATAAAATAGTAATTCATGTGAGATTATATCATGGATATACATATTTACGTAAATAAGAAGTGCTAGGTAGAAGGTAAATATAGATAGATTTAATATTATCTTAAAACAAAGCTTTTTAGAAGTTTCAAAGATATATATTTTATTTTATACATATTTATAGTTGATTGATAGGTTAAAAACTTAGCCAACAAGTTAGCCATTTGTTACATGTATAAATAATTTATGGTATATGCTAACAATGTGGCGCACATATAAGAAACTTGCCTTATAAGTTAAGATACATTTCTTGAAATCAGACACATGTTGGAGGTTCTATAAAACGTCACCACGTAGCTCACAGTTAGATAGTATATATAAAAGCAAGAATGAAGCCTTCTTTACTTTTATCAAGGCCTTTATAGTTTTTAGTCTTGTTTTAAGACTTATTAATGATCTTATCATTTATAATAGTCATTATATTTTAACATAATACCATCTTTGAGTGATTTTTTAGTCTATTTGAATAAAACAAGAATTTATTGATCTTTTAATTATTTAAAATTCATATCTTAAA